AAAAGGAAGCCTAGCTAGATAAGCATAGGGTCTTTTGCTTTACCATTAAGCTAGGTTTCTCTAATCAATATTAGATATGACAATTCATGTTTACATGTTTTTAATGGTATTGTCTAAACATAAAATATTAATAATATGAATAAATACAAATATGATATAATTAATTAAATAAGTTAAAATCAACATAACGTGTTTGATTAAATGAATTAAGTTAAATGTTATATGACACAACATGATTTATATCTAGTTTATAATAAATACAATTAAATAAAATTATGTATAATTACAAATAAAATATAAATCAATTATTCAAATTAAAAATAATTATAACAGAATCTACTATCATCATCAATCATAATAAAATCCACCACCATTATCATCAACCATAATAAAAGAAAAAAAGTATTTATACCAGGATTTAAAGAGTTCATGTGTTCAAAAATCATGTTTACACAATTAATTAATTAAATAATAATTTTAATCTTGAGTTTCACTATTAGAAAATAAGGGATTATCGATGGCATACCAATGTCTTACCAACAGAAGGGAAGTCAAGAAAGCACTCAAGGTAAGGCAATTTTTTTTTATTCCTTAAAATTTATTTTATTAATCCTGTTGCTAATTTTGCCATTTATTTTATGGATTGGGTATGTTGTTATTTTTATTGCTATGTGAAACTAATTGAGCATATAAGTTGGATGAATCAGAGTTGCTTGTTAATTGATTGTAGAGTGTAAGGGATTGTGTTGCCGAATTGAGTTAAGGATTTTTTATTTGTGCTTGTTTATTGATTACAAATTGTTGCTTGATTATTAAGTTTGATTGTTATACAGAAGTAAGAAGTTGTTGATATGTTTTTTTGAATTGTAGTAGCTGATTTTTAATTTCATTATAAATTTCATGTACTACATAGACATAATTTTTATTGATTTATAAGAACAAAAATTAGATAAATTTAGGTATATAAATCATATATAATGAAATTTTAAAAATTTAAAAACAATAATAATGATAAATTATTTTGACGTACTATATACATATATATACACACATACAAAAGTTACTACATGATGCACAATACAAAAAAAATCATTAAATAAAATATATATGTAATAGTATATATATAATGATAAATTTGACTTAATTTTTATGTATAATTTATAATGATTTACAATAACAAAAATTATTTACATGTATATAACTTATATAATGATAAATTTGAAACTTTTACAAAAAAAATAATAATGATAAATTTAATGTACTATATATACAAAAATTTTTATTGTTGTATAATAACAACAATTATGAATGGAAAAAAATATCAATAAAAAATTTTTCGTAATATAAATGCATAATTTTTAATGATTTAGAAGAACATCAATTATATATATAGGGTTATAAATTATATGTAATTCAAAAAAATTTTAAAAAATATTAATAATAAATTGGATATACTTTATATGCATAATTTGTATTGATTTACAGCAACAAAAATTATAGATATGTATATATATAATGAATGTGACTAAATTCTTTTAATTAGATTAATAATTCTAGTAATTAATTAATAATCAATTTTTATTATCTCATAATGGACGACATTATATGTCTATTACATTTTTTAGAATGGAACAAGATCAGAGTTGAATGTATTCCCCGAGCAGATTCAAGTTGATTTCTTAGGACAGAATTTGTGAATGGCATTGAAGAATTTATTTCATTTGCCTTTGATCAACCTAGATATGTAAGTGGGAATAAAATTAGATGCCCTTGCTCTCGGTGCATGAATAACAAGTTCTTCACTATTGATAAGGTTCAGAAGCATCTATTTCGCAAAGGTTTTTTCGGTGCCTACACAATATGGGATTTGCATGGTGAATCATTCCATGTCGAACAATTATTAGAACATTTTGTTTACGATCATGTCGAATAAGTAGTGTATGGTGCTAGAGTAGAAAATTCATATGCTAAAATGGTTATAGATGCTTTACATCCAGATTTTTAATCCAATATTGGAAAAGAAAATGATGAGGATATTCATTAAAATCCAAATCCGAATGCTGCAATGTTCTTTTCATTGTTAAATGATGCTAATTCAACTTTGTGATCTGAATGTACCAAGCACACTAAATTATCAGCTATGTCCCAAATATTGAATGTGAAGTCAAAGTTTAACATAAGTGAGACATGCTTTAATTGTGTGATGCATCTAGTGAAGGAGATGTTGCCATCGGATGAAGCATTATTGAAGAACTTCTATAGAAAGAAGACACAACTGAAGGAACTTGGGTCAGTTGTTTGAAAATTTATTCATGTAAGAAGAATTGCATGTTATTTTATAATGAATATTCAAAGTTATCTTATTGTTCATGTTATGGTCATCCTCGATATAAACTGAATAAATCAATAGGAGAAAGCGTGAAGAAAATTCCTTATAAGATTTTGAGATACTTTCCACTCATTCTTAGATTACAGAGATTTTATATGTCTAAAAAAATAGAAGAACACATGACATGGCATACTACACACCACTCCAATGATGGAGGGCTTAGACATCCTATTAATGGTGAGGTTTGGCAACACTTTAATCAGACCCCATCCGTCCTTTATGATAGAGCCTCGCAATGTCAAAATTAGTTTATATTCTAATGGTTTCAATCCATTTGGTGCAACAACCAAACCATACTTTGTTTAATTGGTCATGCTTAATGTTTATAATTTACCTTCGTGGATGTGCATGAAGCAACCATACATCTTTTTGAATATGGTCATCCAGGGGAGTAGAAGTCCTGGACAAAATATAGATGTTTATTGTGACCTTTGATAGATAAGTTAAAAGTCCTGTGGGTCGAAGGTTTTGTCACATACAATGCTTATGCAAAACAAAATTTTATTCTACGAGCAATACTCTTATGGACCATTAATGACTTTCTGGCATATGGTATGTTATTTGGGTGGAGCACTCGTGGATGTTTATCATGGTCGTGTTGCATGGAACATGGGAAGAGTTTTATCCTGTAGTATGGGAAGAAGCCTTATTTCTTTGATTGTCATTGACAATTTTTGCCAATGGATCATCCATTTCGTTCCTAAAGAGAATTTAAAAAAATATATTGAAAGGGATTCTCCAATTCCTCATTTATCCGCTGTCGAGATTTGAACAAACTAGATGTAATTCTGAATATCACATATGGAGTAAAGGTTAGTGACCATAAGCTATCGAGTTTTTGGCATACCCATAACTGGATGAAGAAAAGCATTTTTGGGGAGTTACCATATTGGAGTACAATTCTCATTCGTCATAACTTGGATATGATGCATATTGAGCCTAATGACTTTGATAATATATTCAGCACAATGATGGATGTTTCAAGGAAAACGAAAGACAATATAAAAGCTCAGCAAAATTTAAAGGTGTGTTGTTGGGGGTTGAAATTGAATTTAATTACACATAATGGTAAACTATATAAACTGAAATCCTCTTACACTTTGACTAAATAGCAAAAGAAAGCTTTGTGTTTATGGGTGAAATAGTTACAACAACAAAATGGTTTTGCCTCTAATGTTGGAAATTGTGTGAATGAGCAAAAGTATAAATTTTATGGAATGAAAAGTCATGATTGTCACATTTTCATGCAGTGTTTGCACCCAATTGCATTTTGTAATATGGTTCGTCATGCTATTCGGAGTGCAATCGTTGAGATCTCACATTTCTTTCTTGATATCTGTGCAATCGAGCTACGACTTGATCATATCAATGCATAGGAAGGGAAAATTGTGGAAACCATATGCAAATTAGATAAGATTTCCCCCTTGGTTTTCTACTCAATGGAACATTTATCGATCCACTTGACATATAAAGCTAGGGTTGGAAGACCAGTCCATTATCGATGGATGTATCCTTATGAGAGGTATTGGGAGCCACACATGTAATTTACTTATTTTTTATGGTTAATATGAGAATCTAACAATCATGTTTATCTTCAGGTTCTTGCATCATCTGAAAAAAGAAATTCATAATCGAGCATTTGTGAAAGGATCCATTTATGAGCATATCTCATCAAGGGCATATTAACATTTTGCTCAATACAAGTCGAACTTACCATTCCAACAAGAATGAATCGAGTCTTATGAAATGATGATGGCGGAGACTTCGATGCATTTGGTCGTCTTTTGATTTTCACCCATCTCGATCAACCTTTAAGTTCATTCAAGAAAAGACGATACCTAGAGGAGGATGAGTTCTATGATGCAAAACTATATACACTTATAAATTATGAAGAGATATTACCATACATTAAGTAAATTTAAGTCAATTTTAAGTTTAGAAAATTACATAAAGTTAATGGTATTAATTTACTCTACGTTCTTTCTATGTATGAGATGTTCGATGAGGTGGTGAAAATCAAACAATAGAGTATTTTTGTTAAGGAATTGGAGAAAATCCATGATGTAACCTCGAAATCAGTTTAAACAATACATAAGTTATCATTTATCAATCTAAATGTAAGTGTTAAAATAACACTTGGAATAATTATATCGCATGCCACTTTCTCATAGATGGCCTAAATGCTAATCAAATTGATTTTGGTTTGGTCTACATATCGCACTATCTTGGTTGTATGTCGATGTGTTACAAAGGTTACTATTTGAATGGATACAAGTTCCATACATTAGAATGTGAAAAAAGTAGTTCAACAATGAATAGTAGTGTCTGCATCAAAGAAAGTTGCTACAATGATTACAATCGTGACTTTTACTGTCTGTTGGTCAATATTGTTAGGTTAGAATACTTCAGTGTAAAAATCAAATAGTTCTATTCAAATGCCATTGGTTTGATGTTGAAAAAGGTCTCAAAGTTGATCCCATTCATGGTTTGATATTTTGAATAATGAAGTGGAGTATCAAGAAGATGAAGACAATACTAATACATGATTTGATGATCCTTCAAACAACCTTGACAATAATACAATTCTTATTAATGGTGAATATGAAAAGGTTAATATGTTTATTAAGGTCGAACATAGTGAAAAAGATGATGACAATGAAAGAGTTAAAGAAAAAGACAAAGAGACAGAGGAAGATGCACAAAAAGATGATGATAAGGAAAGTGATGATCTTGAAGATGAGAACAATGAAAATGAGTTTGCATGTTCAGATGATGATTAAGGGTTGATGGTTTTTTATATATTTAGATCATATAAAGATGTTGACATGCTGTACTTTTTTATGCTAATTTATTTATATATGTTATATTGTTTCGAAATCAACCATTATTAACATCTTTCTAATGATTGTGGATTCGATTTATTAACAATACTTAATATTAATGATTATGCATTACATTTATTGTTAGTTCATAATAATGGTTAGTCAATAATGTGCTGACAAATTTTTGCATAGTCATGGTTAAACATAAGACTACTGTTGGCCCTCGAGCACGGTCGATTGGGATAGGTAATTCAGCTACACAACCTTCAATTCCACTTCAATCTTCACCGCCTGTTATGCGACAGTTAATGCCATCTTAGTCATCGATACCATTGATGTCCACTCCTATGTCCACACCGGCGGCTACTTCATTTGATCAAGAGGAAACACCGCAAACTTTGACTATAGTCGCAAGTGTGTCAAACTCTATATTGCAATCTATGGGCCGAGGACCTAGTGTATGCTTGCCCACTTCTACTAATTGGAATCGACGAATTCTTTTGCATCTCGTCAAAGAGAGGTAATTTATAGTTATTAGCTTATTTCATTATATGTAGTAATTTCATTAATGTGTTTAAATAAAGATGTATCAATTTTGTAGTATTTTTGCAAATACTAGAGTAACTCTAACCATCATAAGAATAATCAAGAGTCACTTCAGTGGGCCCTAGTAGACATGGATGTTGATTCCTATCATTGTGAAAGATGCCATGTGGCGTAAATTTGAGATACCATATTGTTATTGTATATTTATCCAAGTTTCCATTAACAATACTGATATAAATATTCATTACTTTTGTAGGAGTCATTTACGTGGGCTAATATTGATGCTTTGATGGTCCATAACATATAGGAGGAGATTTGCAAAGATTGATTAAAAGACCTGTTAGCAGATGAGAACGAGAAAACCAAGAGGGATGCAAGCACTCGTCATAATCTCCTCTTAATTAAGGGGAAGGGGCACCCCAGGATCACTGTAAAGTTTTAGGACCAACTAGTCAATAATGTTTGGACCACGCCCTAGTGGCAGCATTAATTTATGAAAGCTTAGCAAAGCTACCTAACAAAGAAGGATAGTAGCATAGCAAAGCATACAAGAGGTTTTTTACCTTTTGCTTTATATCAGAAGAAAATGGTACATGTTCTTAACTCATAAAGTCAATAATGTGAGCATTTTGATATTGTCGTTGTATTGTTGATGACTGTGAAGCAAAGCCATGCATATGTTTTAATGATGCATTTGTTTTTCTTCTGAGTGTGTTATGTATTGTCATTGTTTTATGATTTTAAAACATGCATATTAGTGATCATGCCTTTTTTTTTCTTATTGTGATTGTAGTCCGAGATTCTGCAAAGACCAATGACATTCTCCGAGGTTTTTGGGCACACTCATAAACAACAAAAAGGTACCAAAGAATTTGTCTACAACAAGTCGAAGACTGTTGGTGCAAGTAATAGAAATAAGTTAGTTTATTTTAATTATATTATTGAATATGTGTATATGTTCCTTAACGATTTCATTAATACATAATGTCATTTTCTTTTCTATTTGTAGGAATCATATACATCTGTTATATTGCAAAAGTATGGTAATGATCCATCATCCCAACTGGAGTTTGATCCAATAGCTTGGTCTGAGCTAATTGAAGGGCCACAAACCCTTCAAAGCCACGTTTACAGGTTTAGCACCAAGATGCAACCTACTTCACTATTTGCTTCAGCTGCGACATCTGAGTTTGCCTGTGGTCTAATGCCTTTTACTACTGCTGCACGAGTTCCATTATCTGAACCTAAAGACTATAAAGAAATGAAGACCGATGTGAAGGAGTTAAAGACTGACGTGTTTGATATTAAGTCCATTATGAAGGTTATCCTTGAGAGGCTTTCATATCCAACTAATGGGTGTTCATCATCACAGCAGTCTCATCCTCAGTCATAATAGCAATCTCCCTTTTCTCATGATTTAACCGATGGACAATTGTAATTCCTTTTTGTTGTGCTATAGATTTTTTATATTAACGTTTTTCATAGACTTTGAACATTTCTTTTTTAATTTTCAAAATATTTGGGCTGTTTTTTCCATTATATAATACATTCGGAGTAATTTTTCAAACAAAATTATTACTTTAAATATATTAATATTATTATTCAATGCAAGAAACAAAAATATATTAAAAATATATATAATTAATTATTATATATAAAATTACCGATGCAATTCTTTCAATATCGACGTATTTCTTTTCTCATGAAATTTGCTTTATTACAGACAAAATAGAACCCATTACTGACAAAACAAGTCAAAAATTTTAATTGCTAATTCCATTAGGAATTTCGTAGGAAATCAATCGGTAAAATACCAACGCATTTTCTGACCGTGAGATCAATCGGTATATTACTAACAGATGTACCAACAGTAAATTTTTAGATCGGTACTTTTACCGACGGATTTTTGACATCACAGACAAATTGTTCAATGGATAAATTAGATTTTTTACCAATGAAAATATTGACGAAACTTTTCATCGATGATATTTCGGATGAAATTTTAAAATACCGATAAAAACTTATTACTGACGATGGTATTTCCAACTGAGTAACGACAAATTTTTCCATTGAAAATTGATATTACCAACGGAATGCACACCTTTTTCCATCGATAAAATCCGATTTTTTTGTAGTGTTTGATGGGTAAACTGTAAATATGATTTAACTATGTTTATCTCGAAAGGAATAAATGAATTCGATACTTAGCTTCATTTCATATAGTGTTTGTGTTGTGTTATCATGTCGAATGTAAGATTATCGAGCTTAATTATCAAAGACTAGCTGAAATCCCAAAAAGGAAAAGCTTTGAACTGAAAATTTGTGGGTGTAGAACATGGAGCAAATTTGTGGTTAAAAGACCCCTCTCTTCCGAGCTCTCTCTCTCTCCTTGGCCTTGCTTCTTTCAAAAGCCAAAATCATTGAACCATTCTTCATCCTCCAAAAACTTAGACATATTTCAATTGGATGCTGCCCTCATTCTAGTGTTAATCCACTTGACAATTTCAAAGACTTTTCAATAAAAAAGAATATTGTGACACAATTGTCTTTGGTTGACAAGTTTTTGAGTGTGCTATATATCTACTCTATGTTTATATGGTGCACTGCCTTGTCATCATCGTCATCCTCTTGCTATTTGTCTGTTTTTCTAAGTCATGAATAAATAACAAATCAGACTCTAAACTTTAATCAGGAACGAATCAAGATTTTGCATAAAAAGTTTATTAAAGTTTAATTATAAAAATAATTATATTATATACATAATAACAAAAATAGTAAAAATAAAAAAGTGACAGTCACCATCATTTTGATCTCGTCACTGGTGACCTTAACCATACATAAATAATCTCATAAAAATTAGATTAAAAAAAAAAGAAACGAGAACTATCAAGCAAAATTGCAATTTCTTGTCATGAAGTTTAATTTCAAAATCGACTGATTACATTACAATCCTTGCACTTCTGATTTGCATTTAACAAGCTATATATATATATATATATATATATATATATATATAACAGTATATTCATATCGTATTTTATTTTTTATTTACATTTCATATAATAAAATTCATTAGTGAAGTTAACGGAATGATTTCTATATTTACAAGAAAATACTGTAACATAACTGCGATGTATAAAAGTTGTGGATTTATTAAGATGGTATAATTTGGAGTCAAAATAGCTATTGGAGATTAATGCTCCATTTTTCTTTTGCCGATAAGTGTGTCTGTTCTTCAAGTTTTTTTTTTTTTTCCCTTTCTTCTTTCCCAAACAGGATTGGAACTTTGAAAGAACATTCCAATGAGATGGTATTTAAAATGCCCAAGCCCAACTATTTGGGCCTGTTGGATTTCTATTTTGGGCTTGACAGACCATAATCCACTACTAAAAAACACATACCAGGTGCATTGATGGAATTATTGATGGAATTACCGACAGTTCATATTTTGTTTTATTAAATCATATATATTTCGTTTAACATGCTATATTAAAAGAAAGCATACGTAAGAGCTCGAAAATTGATGAATCTAGATACAATCCTTCCTCTCGTACGTGCCTTGCACACGTATAATCACATGTTAAACACTTCGTTTTCCTTTCTAATTCACATTCACACTGATAGGACGGGTGACATGCCAAGTATATCCTCCTCCTTGCATTAAGCTTGTCACACATATGTTATCTTTAGGGAAAAAAAATTATCACATATATACTTAAGTTTTTAATATGTATTTACATTTGACACAATATTAATATATAAATGTTGTCATCTAATTAATAAATAAATTTAAAAAATCTAAATTTTAAAAAATAAATATTTATAATTTTAAAAATATTTATTTTAAAATTTTATAAAACTTTTATTTTGAAATAACAACGTATAGATACTATAATCTGATAGTATAATAAATGTAACTTTTTTTATTTAGATGAAATGATAAAAATATATACACTTTTAATTAAAGTTTCGAATGCATAAATATTTACCATCATCATCATCATTGTAGTCATAGTTGCACGATTCTTGATTGAAAAATTGCTGCACCATTTTGACTGTCTTCACCTCTTTCTCTCCCTCATCCGTACTTAAGTTTGAAAAATAAAAAAGGCGTTCAAGAATATATTTTTTACAACTCGTACACTCACGAATGTAGTTTTTTTTTTATTTGAAAAAGAAGTTTTTAAATTTTATTTTTAAATAAAAATTAATATATTAATTAATAAGTTAAATGTTCAAACTTAAATTTATAAATATAATTTCATTGTCATAAAATTAAAATTTAAAGATCAAATCCAATCACTATTATAAGTTTTTATAATTAAATATTATTAATTAAAATATAATTTATTATTTTATACATGTAACATGTTAATAAATTATAATATATGAAAACATGATATATTAATATA